CCGTTTAAAAGAAACAAAATAGGAATATACTATGTACTTGTGTGTCTATCTAGTCAAAATGAGGAGAGTCTCGAGCTGAAAATGGGAGAGGAAAAGAGCGGCCTGCTTGTAGTATACTCATTGGCACTCGTTGATTATATTACACGTAAAATTTTGAGCATATATCTTTATATTAGTATTCCTTTCGTCACAAAAGAATAACTAATTTGTTATTAAAAAAGTTTAGCAAATAGATTATCTTTCGCGAAAGAATAAAAAGTTACTTCTTCTGTTTCAAAATTATTGTCGAATTTGAGATTTCATTTTTTAGTATAATTTAAATTAAAAATAAAAATCTAAACTGGACAATAATTATAGAACAGAAGGAGTACATTTTCTCCATCCGGTGACCTTCACGATGGAATAAATCATCAGGTCACAAAACTGCAATTAATTGATGGGAAGGTACGTGAAGACGTTTCAAGTTAATCCAACGTGAAAAATACATCCTGGAATGGGCTTCGTCTTCTTGGGCTTTTCCCAGTTTTTGGATTACGCTTGATTGTAGCAGTCAGCATGTGTTAAGGACAGAAACAATCTGGTGAACTGTCACATCTTGAAGGGTTTAATCCAATTTTGATCACGAGGAATTCATGAAAAGAAGGGACAGAATCCAGAGCTCTAGATAGTGAGGTTAGAACCCAAAAAATGGGATGAGAGTGAATGTCCAAGAACAAGAAATTTGGGAGAGAAATCAGACTTTCAGAACAATGCAAATGACTATTTGAGAAAAATAGGGCCGGTCAATTTTGATCACTACTTTGTTTAGGAATTTTATAATCCCTATATAATAAACTAATTACACTTATGGTCTCTCTAAATCTTTTAATTTTCTTTTTGACCACTAAATCATGACATGGACTTTTCCAAAAAAAAAATTGACTTTGTCCTAGGCCCATTGTTATTCTAGTTTTATTTCTATTTTATTTTCGAGGACAATATGTAATTCTGATAAGATGTAATGAATATGGTGAAATTGGGATCTTTTATCCTCAAGGGGAGGGAACGATGTTTCCTATCTTGCCTCAAAACATAGACCCGGTAGAGAATAGAAGATCCCGTATGTTGTCCATTACTCCCTCCGGTCTTTAATATAAGATATTTTGATTTTGTTCTAAGTTTTAACTAGTATGTGTTTTGAATTAACGAAAAAATCTTAAACATATATTTTTAAACTCGTTGTGTTCTCTTGATTGTTAGTAAATATTTTTAAAGTTTTTTCGTCAATTAAAAATGCTTACTAGGTGAAACTTAGGACAAATTAAAATACCTTATATTAAGGACCGATGGAGTATTACAATAATGGGCATAGGTCTAATAATGAGTGAATTAGGGGTTATGTATCCTTTGTCACATCATCTATAGATATGACATTATTAATTCTATGATTTTTAAGTTGGATCACTTAGGGTTATATGTAAAAGGGGGAAAAATAGCAATCTACTCCTTCCTTCTTATTTACCAGAATATGCTAATTAGAGTTAGGTTTTTTTTTGAGCTTGAATAGGCTCACTCATTGTAAGAGGATAGTGAGAGGGGATGAGTTGCTTCATATATATGTATGTAGTTGATCATTGAATTTACAAATTTTGTGATGAGTCTATTCAAGAGAACGTGTCGTACCTACCAAATCTATTTATTCTGAAGGTAGAAGTTTCTTGGTTCAACAGTTACTATTTGTCAATTCATTCCAAAGAACAAGAAGAAAAAACAAAAAGAAACAAAGAAAGGGAAAGAGAAGAAGAAGTAGAACTAATAAAGAAAGTGCCTCACAAATTGGAAACATTTTTCCATGGTTGGAATGTACAGTCACATCCATGGGAATACTGCTATTATCCAATCCCAATTAGACTGCAGATGCAGTTAAGACAAGAATGATGAATGAGGACCATGGTGGAAGAGCAAAACAGTTGTTCTTTTTTTTTTTTTTTTTTTTTTTTTTTGAACAAAGGAAGAGCAAAATAGTTAAGTATTCCTTTAGGATACAAAAAAGTAGTCTGTATGTTTATTTGTTTTAGTAGAATAAACCAGACATTATTTTGAGAAGACGGAAGAAGTCAGTAACTACATTGACTGAATCAAACTTGTATATCCTAAAAATTTTGTATTCCCTTCGCCCCTACATATATAATAATCATGTTCTGTTCCTACGACAAATGACTTCTTATTTCATTTGGTATAGCATATTTAAACACAAAGAAAAGAAAAAAATTTAAAAAGGAAAAGAAAAGGAGTAGAATTATTTGGATTCAAATAATATGGGCCGTTGCCGATGTTTAAAAAGAAAATTAATGCTGCTTTGAATTTCTTCCTACTACTACGATAAAGGTCAGTACTCTATTTTCTGAACAATTTGTACAAATACACTTAATGAAGAGTTGCAATATGTAACAGTGAACAGTAAACCCTTTCTTAAATGTGCATAATGACGCTACAGAAACAAAAATTTATAATATCACCCATACTAAAGTGATCCAACGTGCTTCCGGTCCCTTCCCTTCATCTATACTCAGACATTAACTTATTTCGAATTAAATGTGGACTGTACCATATATAATATATATATACTCCATCGATTTTAAAATGCAAGTCTTTTTAGATTCTGCATGTAAATTAAGGAGACAATTATTCAACAATTAATTTATATGTTAAATATCTGTTTTACCTTTTATTAGTTACAGTAAAATATAAACAAGACTAAATGAAAATAGATTGACATTATTTATTGATGGTAAAGTTGGAAAAATAGTCATTAATTTACCTAAAAGTTGTAAATCGACCTACATTTTGAAAAATCTTCTCAATCCTAAAACGACTTACAATTTGAAATAGAGGGAATATATATATATATATATATATATATATTACAGCTTTAATTACTGTTGATGATTAATTAAGCAGCTCATCATTTTTTATCATTTAACAATATTGGCTGCATAACTTCACACTCCCATATAAAGAAATAATCATTGGAAAAGAAAAACAACTACGAATGTAAATGGCTAATATTGTTACGTACGAACTGAAAAAGCCCTCTGAGCTGGGCTGCCTTTGTAGTTGTTTAATAATAAATTAATTTGGATATTTATCACGTATGATGATATGAAGACCTCTTTTAATATCGTTAGGAGTTTTCATTTTCATGCGAAGCTAAATACGAGGGCAGTAAACGTGGTACGGCAAAATTCAATTCGGAGATTTAACTAAAAACTGTGAGCGTGGAGGATCAATACCAATTAACATTCCCTATATTTTTGTGCACAAATATTAGGAGAAGTTTGGTGTAAATTGTACGATGCATAATGAATGTTCTTTAAGACATTAAACAAAATAAACAATAATAGCTGGTTAGGGAGAGGCAAATTATAAGGAATTATAGATCGTATATAACTTGTGTAGTAAGCCTGTTCGTGATTCTCTTCGAGTTCCAGTGTTCCAATCTGATTTGAGGTGGAATGGAAATTTATGTTGACCTTTTTTTCTTTCTGCATCATATTACAGAAGAAATAGAGCGCTGAAAAAACCAACCAATTTTGAGTTCAAATAGTAATTCTGCAATGCTAGCTAGCATAAAGGAACGTCATCTTAATTCTTATTGTGTTCGAAAGAAAGCATTTTCTATTTTTACACAAGTATATGCTGTATTTCTTCCAGAAAAATAGTCCATATTTAATTTTAATAATTATAATATATTTTTTTACTTTTTAGGACAAATATCAAAAGTCAATGTAATTTTTTTTTATTGGACATAGGTAATGTGTGATAAAAATAAGACTCTCTCCGTCCCACAAAAACAGTCCAATTTGATAAAAAAATTTGTCCCCTAAAAAATAATCAAATTGACTATAACGTCCTTCACAATGAAACATTATTACATCGTCAGCCCAAACGATTATCACCTATTAGTACTCCTGGGAATTCCTCCGACGATGTCGACGGAGAAAGGGAGATGGCGACCCTGTTGCTGAGATTTTTGATCTCTTGGACTCGTCTTCTGCAATCAAATCTATTGTAAAACGAACATTTCACCTTGATGTCCGATCGGGACCTTCAGATCAATGCCCGATTAATCAGAATAAGACTGGCCGGCAGACCAAAAGATTCAAAGCAGTTCGGTTCCGATGCATTCTCCTTTGAGGCTACGAAAGCAGAAACATGGGACGACGAAATCGACCACCTGAAATTCTCCTACGACGAAATCGAACTTAGAGGTTCGGAAATCTTTCCCGTACGATTGGAAATCCGAAGGATCATTGATCCCTTCTGACAAAAGAAGACGATAGAATTCATAAATTGACGGCGTGCCAATTTTCTCGCTTAATCAGATCTTTGATTCCTCTTCTACAACCTCTCGCCGCTAAATTTCCATCCCAACAGTCGCCGTCTCCGGTGAGTCAAGGATGAGTAGATTTTTAGGTCTCAAATAATGGCGAATTTTTGTTTGGTATATAATAGGGGTAGAATAGGAAAGTTTTAGACTAAAATGAGTTGTACCTTGATTGCTTTGACTAAATTAAAAGAGTTGTACCTTTTGAAACTAGACTATTTTTGTAGGACGCAAGGAGTATAAATCTTAAAAGACTATCTTTTCTTTTTTTGGACACATGTAATATTAAGCATAAGGTGTAATAAACTAGGCATTGAATAAAAAATCAGAACGGAGTACAGAGGGAGTCGAGAAAATTTCGTTTAGATGGAAACTATAGAGAAACCTAAATATAAACTGATATTGATCACCTGCGAATTCGTTTTCAAGGGGATCGAGAAAAATATGCAGTCGCGTCATTGATGATTTGGTAGTTCTTCATGTCTGCAAATTTTATAACGGTGGGATCCTTTCTTTAATCATTTTGGTACGAACCTAGTACAGTAGGCCTGTAACAGATTTCAATTTTGCTTATACTATACTCATCTCTATTTATATGCTCACTTTGGCTCCTGCCCCATTCCACATGCAGAGAGCCATTATATATATACTACATCATTCTCTCATTTCTCCCCAAATCCATCAGCCTTCTCTTTTACTTCTTTTAGTTGCTGCTTCCTAGCTAGCTAAGGTAGGGTAGAATATATATATCACTTGTAACGAGTAGTACAGTAGAATTGGAAGTAACACTACTACTAGTACTATTTGCATTATTCCCCCCAAAAAAAGAAAAAAATTACTAGCTCGTACATTTGAACATCCTAGTCCAGACGTACGATAACGTTGTATATCCATCAGGTGTGTGAAATTGAAAATGGGGAGGTCACCATGCTGCGATAAAGTGGGATTGAGGAAAGGGACATGGACACCTGAAGAAGACCAAAAGCTCTTGTCTTACATCCAACAACATGGTCATGGCAGTTGGCGCTCCCTTCCTGCCAAAGCGGGTAATTGCACATATTGTACTTTCTCCGGTCCTGTTTATTGAGGCGTCGTGATTATGATAGTTAATTTCTCTTAAAAAAGTAAAACAGGATCATAAAATTGCGTATGCTAAATGTGTATATATATTCACTATAGGGCTGCAAAGATGTGGCAAGAGTTGTAGACTGCGATGGACGAATTATCTTAGGCCAGACATCAAGAGAGGGAAGTTTAGTTCTCAAGAAGAACAAAAGATTATTCAACTCCATGCACTTCTTGGAAACAGGTCCGTACTTACCTCTCTAATTAAGTCTCGAATTCAAGTCTTGCGAAAAAATAGATAAAAAGATCACTGTTACTTTCAAAAAGAGCCTTACTCAGGTAGTCCGGTTGAATAAGGATGAGTCTGAATGTGATATAAATTTGTGACGAAGTTTTATGTTTTTATAATTTCTTATCACAGATGGTCAGCCATAGCAGCACATCTGCCGAAAAGAACAGACAACGAAATCAAGAACCACTGGAACACACATTTGAAGAAGAGGCTACACAAGATGGGGATTGATCCTTCAACTCATAAGCCCAAAACCAACCCTTTCGGGTCCGGCCAACAGAGAGACAATGCCAACCTTAGTCACATTGCGCAGTGGGAAAGCGCTCGTCTTGAAGCCGAATCCAGACTTGTCCGGGAATCAAAACTCTCATCAGTTCAATCATCATCATCATCATCAATGAGGAAAACTAGCAAAGTACCACCATTGCAGCCAATTGTACTACCTTGTCTTGATGTGTTAAAAGCTTGGCAAGGCACATGGAAGTCAAGTACTCCTACTTCTAACAATAATAGGTTTTTCAATCCCGGTAAAAACCTCCAATCTCCGACCTCGACGTTACATTTCTCCGAAAACGCTTTCCCTTCTCCGGCCACCACCTCAACCACCCCTACTACTACTAATAATAATAATGCTACTTGTTTTGGTGAAACGACTATGCCACTTGGAGCCATATTGACTAATGGAAATGGTGGAAATGGTATGCAGCTTAATGACATTGTGGGTCATTACCCTAATAATAATGTTGATGCTGCTTACTTTGAAGAATCATCACTGACGCCAGCTCCAAGTTTCTTGGAAGGATTTGTTGATGGATCTTTTGGAGGCAGCTCGGGTGGTGGTGATCTTGAGGACAACAAAAAGTATTGGAACAGTATCCTCAATGGGGAGACTTAATCCAGCAATCTGATCAAGTCAAAGTAATTTTAAATAATCTTTAGGTACTTTGTTTTTCAATTAATGCTTTCTAGGAAAGCTATTAGAAACTTGTACTTTATTTTGTTAGAAGAAGTAGTAGTAGTAGTAATCTAAATGTGTTAAGGAATAAGTTACATGTCGATGAAACCATCTGAGATATGTAACCGAGTTTAGAACGAAATTTTACGTACAACGTACTTTTGGCGAATTTATATTATTCCGGCCAAGTTTCTATTTTCAAGGTTGTTATGATGAAATCTCTTTGCAATTTATGTGTCTGTTCCCCATGCAGAACGGATTCAATTTGACCCTTCATCTGGAAAGCTCGTTGTATTCTGGTTTTACTTTATTTATATTGTCGTTTCCCATTCGGATTAAATTCAACTTTTTTTCCTTCTTTTTTTTTTGTTTTCTTTTTCGTTTTTAATTAATGATGAGGAGACAGTAGTAAGGTACATCTGCTGTTTGCAATTTGCATCATCGAGAGGTACACTTCCACTAATTTATTGCCTCGATCTCCTCCGCCAAATTATTCATTCTACTAAATAAGTATTCTTTTAAATTCCCTCCATCTCAAAATAGACGCAATTAGCTTCGAATTTTCTAAAATAAATATTGTTCTCTCAATTCGAGGTTGTTTTGTTAATTTTTTCTAGTATTACCCTTACATTAAAAAAATTATAATGGTATTTTGATCCCAAAATAAAAATTATAATGATATTTACTGTAGAATTGTATTAGAATAAAATATCATTAGACTACAATTGTATTGAGAGTAAATGAGGATATTATATTATTTTAGTAAGATAAGTATTGTCTTATTAAATTATGTGAAATCTCTCTAGTGACATTTATTTCATAATGGAGGAAGTAATTTTTTTTTTCTTTCTTTGCCTCAAATTAATATTATGCCTCTCCACATACTTTGAGTGATTGAGATAAATACTATAGTTTCACATCTTTTGGATAGTTTGGCTATATGCTGGTGTTCTATTCCAAAAGTTAATTAATCAACAAACATGATCATTTGTTGATTTAATTGCACACGACTTCAATTCTTCTGTCAAATTTTGTAGCCCTTAAAAAAAAATAAAAATTGGCCTTACATAGGAGCAAGGAAGGAGGCAAAAACAAACCAGACTATATGCAAAAGTAAGAGTCATATTCGCCAAAGTTAATTTCTTTAAGGTCAATCACAAAGGGAAGCAGATAGCCAGGGGACCAACAAAACTATAGACGACTCTCAAAAAGAAAAGTCAGATGTTAAGCAACATAATTCAACCAACAAATAACTGCTCGATATGTATAATTCAGTTGTGGCGATCGATGACCGAGCAGTTTTTTTGTGAGTTCACAATTTTAGTTGAATAGCAGTTATGGAGACTGTACCTCGGACTTCAGAGAAACATGTGCTCTTCAGCTGCAAAATGCTTATGCATGCATGGCCACACGGAATTATAACATTTCTTCTTCGTATGAAACAAAGCTAGCCAGTTGGAAATTGTTTAATGATTTGTGTGTTCATAATGTTTCACTTTATAGTACCAATTATGTTGCTTTTATTACAGTGTTTCGCTTTTTAGAAGTATGATTTCCATCATTCCATTTGCTTATATATCCTCCGTTTGATAATTTTTCTGACAATAAAATGGCCCTTTTGTCCCACACGAATTGAGAGGATGATGTCTCTCAAACACTCTATTATTTCATTACCAATTAATTTTTGAATTGGAAGCACGATACTCCCTCCATCCCATATACATCAATTCTATGGTGAGATTTATAAATAAGCGTAAATACTCAATAGTTCAATTTCTGAGATTGATTTCTCGTGTTTAAAGAATTTCAAATTGAATTATTATAATGAGACGAGAAAAGTATTACTTTAATCAATTCGATCCGTGTTTTCCTTGAAGAAAAAAGGATCACTTGAAGTTGGACCTTCACATTTCCGCTCTTCAGTACTCGAAAACACAAAGTTTAAGATTTTTGAACTGACACTCTTCCCGTTATAAAACAAGGATCGTGCATAGTTATTGAACATGGCTCTTGTTACATGAAAAAACTATTAATAATTTTTTTTTTACTCGCAGTCTATCCAAAATAAAGATCAAATAGTTTATTACACTTTTTTCACTTTGTGTTTAGAAATCTTGATCGTTAGCAGTACATTAATTTTCTTTGGACAAACGAAAGTTGACAATCAAACGAAAAACTTATACTCCCTTCGTCCCATAATTATTGTCCACTTTGCCCAAAAAATTGTCCCAAAATTATTATCCAATTTGACTTTTTATAGATCAAATTACACATTTGTCCTTAGTAAAAAACATTATCCATAAAATCTTAGTGGTTAAACAATTACTTATGTAGGGATATATCTGGTTGTTTAAGGTAAAATATAGTTAAGTTTGACAAAAAATAAAATCTTTCATTTTAGTAAAACTGGACAATAATTATGGGACGGAGGAAGTATATCATTACGGGGACAGAGAATCACAGACGGAAGAAATATACGGCTAACCAAACCGACGTTATTCTTCTCTCTACCTTGCATCATTGGTTGGGCGTTTTAAGTAAACAAAATAAAGATGGTTATTAGTAACCCGTACAAAATGACGGTGTATCTTGTTCCTACCAGTTTTAATGAGTGGAAGAGTATACATAAATTTGGCACTGCGAAAACCACTGTTTGTTACCAGCTGACTCCGACTGGCAAAATTTATTGATGAATATGTATATAATATTATTGTTGTTATTGTTATCTTTCTCTCAAATGCATGCCAGTAATTAATAAGTTCTCATTGTGCCAACTGAAATCGTAACAGTTCCGCGGAGAAGAACACCTAACCCTTCTTAATTTTTGTTGGCCGTTTTTAATTTTTTTGTTGGGATGAATTTACAGTGATTAAATGACATTGATGAGAGAAAACCAAAGCTTTCAATATCTATATACGGCAGACGTCCCTTGGATGAAATGGTTTTATTAACCATGATTTTTCCTTGTCAAATCGTCGTGGGCAGTGGCAGAGTTAGGGGAAACGGAGAGGTGTGACCGAACCTTCTACATTAATTTATTAGCTCATTAGTAGTTTCTTTTCCTAAATTTTTCACCTTTACATGGAAACCTTCTACATTAATTTATTAGCTCATTAGTAGTTTCTTTTCCTAAATTTTGCACCTTTACATGGATCCGTAGCTCCGCCATTGGTCGTGAGAAACTTGTTAATTATCTCTTGCACAGGCTTCGGGTTTGAATACGTACAATTCTCTGAAAAAAATTAGTTTTTTTGTCTTGAAATTATTGTTTAATTTGAATTTTCATTTTTTTAGCACAAATTGTACAAATAGTAACCGGACAAAAAAAAAATTATGGGACACATGAAGTACATCCTATTTGAATAAAAATTAAGCTGCGTATGATATGTCTATTTAATTAGAACAAGATGAAATTTCAGGATTTTTCAGTTAACTAACAGAAACAGTAGACTCACGTGTACATGCATGCATGCATGCTTCCTGTTAATCGTGCAATTCAAACAGCGGAAACTTTAATGCAAGAATATTACTTGCACCATAAAATTCAGATAGAAAGTTGGTGCCTGATGGTTAGAATACTTGTTCCCTATATTATACTACTATGTTATTGTTCATCCCCAATCCCAAGAATGTACTTATGGATGCAATATATACATACAAAATTGTACATGCGGATGGGAATCATATGATCTTCCTTTTTATGCGGTGGGTAATTAATCTATCTGCTATGGCTATATGCGTAGAGTGATAATTGCAGTTAGATTTTGTTTGCTTCATTTGCTTGGCTGAACAAAGAACGAGTATTTATTTTGTATGGGCTATATATGCAACACTAGTCATATACAGTTGATTTGCTAGCTCTTTTGCTTGGGTGACTATAGTAGTCTTGTTTTTCGGGATATTATGCACTCAATATAGTTCGGTTTCGTGCAGAATATGTCTGTCTTAAGAGCATCTTCAGTGTTGAAGCAATTTGCTACACATCGAATCATCAAAATTGTTATTTTAATGTAGTTCATCTCCAAACCTCACTCAACTCTATTTTGTGCAGCAAATCACCCAATAAAGCCCAAAAATAAAAGAAAGAAGAAAAGTCAAGAAAGGTAAAAGAAACAACGTCAGCGAGACACCCCATTTGATGCATCTATAGTATAGCAACAAATTTGGTGATCTACTGTAGTAAAAGCAGCACTTTACTATTTGTTTTTCCTGTTTTGCTGCTACATTGGAGCAAAAATATATTAAATTCTCCAACAATTTGCTGAATTGGTGTAACATTGGGGATGCTCTTAAAGAGTAAATCTTTTGCAATAATAATTTTTATAATTTCCGTAAATTGAATTTAAACCTTCGATTATAGTTATATTTACCAAATGCCTATTGTCATACAAATGAGTACTCGAAACAAGTGTTTGTTGGCTGATAGACTAGTGTCTTCGACATTTTGGTACGTTCGGTTGCTTTAAAATTTGTTGGGTGACATGATCTGCAGTACATTTGTTTTGTGCAAGGGATATTGGTGACAATTAATTCCGAACTCTATTCATGTACCCCATTATTCCACTGTTTATGCTTGAATCCAAGAGAAAATATCAGTTGCAATGATGGTGCAAAATAAATTGCGAAAGTTTTGGCGAGATTGAAAATATATATATATTTTTTTGTTACTTTCCCCTTATGAATTAAATCAGTGATAAAATGGCATCATGTTACTTGCGTTGTAATTAATCTACTCCGATGTCAAAACAGATTCCGATTCGGCAATGATCTAAAACTATATTGGTTCTAACTAAGTATACCTTTTTTCACTTAATCAGATAAAACCTCACTGGGCGATCATTAGACTATTTTATTCTCATATATAGTCCATTTACAATCAAAAGAATGGAGGCAATCATCGGTTAAAAATCCATAATGTGGTCCTTTTTTAAATTAAATTGTCAAAGTGTGCGAAATAGAATGAGTTCACAGTTAAGTGCCATTGACTATCAAACTCCATAAAGTTTAACAAAAGAATTAATTTTGACATGAGATTAAAAACTTTCAGTGAAGGGACACAATTTGAAGAAAGGTGGGGAAAAACTCTAAAATTGATCAAAATCTCAAAACACCAACGAGTGGAGACATTATAGTGATCAAACACGTAGGAATTTTTGCCCTAATTTCCTTTCAGTCATTCATCAATACATGATCAACAAGAAAGGGATCATGAACATCAAATACTTTTCAATACATTTTAATATAACTTACAA